TATTAATTATTATTCACAGGGGTATTTTTGGCATAAATATATATATCGAGGACTATGGAGAAAAGCCTACATAAAAGGATATTCTCCACTATGATCATCTACCATTCGTTTAAGTAATGGAGGCTTTCCTTCGTTATTATCACAGTCTGTAAGAAAAAGATGTTGACCTGTTCTCTTAAATATCCAGTGAACTAAACGACCTGCGGCTCTCTCTAAAGCAGCTACCCCGAATAGAAGTGGTACCTGAAAATATGTATTTATAATTAGTATATGCTACCCCCGTGTTTTCTCTAATTGCTAAAAAACTCCCCGTTTTATTTTATTAGCAAAACCCCCCCTAAGATTCAAGCAAACTGCTCCCTAAAGCTCACTATTTAGGGGGCAACGTGCGGGGAGTGTTCTAGAAATTTGATGTGACACGGGGGTACTAAATGCAATAAACTCGAATATTTTGAAGATATGCAAACAAAACGGAAAGCCCTCTTTACCTGTTTATTACCCCGAGAACCAAGATGGGGAGTGGCAACAGTAATAAAATTTACTGGCTCCAGATCAGCTATTGTAGCATTGGCTGATAATTTTTCTTCACTTCCTATTTTTGGAGGTTTATATAATTTCCCGATAGCATATCTTGCAACGAGCCCCCCTACAGAGTGCGCGACAAAAGAAATTTTCCTTAAACAAGGTTTCCTTTTGATCACTTCATGGACCTAGAAATAAAACACTGAAATTTAGGTCTCAAATTACGGTACGTGGAGTATCGTGTTTCACACGATGTTTTTTTCTCAAACAAAATAAAATGGGAAAACAAAGAAATATAAACCTCGTCAGCCAGTCTCTCGCCCATAACATCTACACCGTCCAATGTCAGCATTGCCATATTTCGTTCACTACCTGCAAGCCAGATTATATGCTCGAGTGAGACGCTAAGCCACCTTTGAGTGGCAAAAGTGTAGTTAGGGGCTAATAAAATCCCGGAAAATTAGATAGAGTGAGTCCTTGGGATGCTACATTAAGTATCAGATTTTTACTTTAAGTGTCTTTTTTTGGAAGATATATCAATATTCTATAATTGAAAAGATCGATGGCTCGATCAGCCGCAAAAATTAGAAAGCATAACAAACTTTTCTGTAAGGACCTACACGGAATGAATCGTCTCATTCCATCAATGCAGTTACGAAATCATCGCACATTGCAATTGAAACTATGGATTAATTCACATAATAAAAAATAAAAATAAAAAAAATTGAAAAATCGGATAGAACTTTATCAGTATACATAGTGTGCAAGTGCAACTCACAGTGAACGAAGACTTTATCAGGAAGACTCTTGACAAATTGCTCAGCACCAAATTTCCAATCCGATGCACTGCAATGATTAATTGCATGATGATTAGCAAACTAGGTCATTTTTTTAGGAAAAATCTCAGAAAGCACAACAAAAAGTGCATAAATAATAAAAAGAAAAAAAAAAAAAAAAAAGGTACCTTCCGAGAATTCCGTGCACCATTACAACAAGATGATCGGCGTCGGATCCTCTACAAATACACACATCCTCCCCTCCGTTTTCCGTTTGCCTCGAACAAACGGCGCCGTTTTCACCACCTTCTCCGTTTTCCATAGTGCCCTTTTTCCCCCAACTCAAAAATTGATAAACTCAAGAGAGAATTGAAAGTAGGATTAGCAGCTTAATTAAGCATCACAATCTGAAGTCTGAACTCTGAACTTAAGAATCGGATGTATTAAATATTAAATGAGAGTTCTGAATTTTTTGAAAATTGGTTACAAAAAAATTTGTGAAGAGATGGTGGCGATTCGGTTGTATGCAAAACTATTTTTGAGTTTGCTGCATTCGGAATGGCATGTATTTATTCTAATTATTAAAAACAAATAATAATAATAATAATAATAATAATAATAATAATAATAATAATAATAATAATAATAATAATAATAATAATAATAATAATAATAATAATAATAATAATAATAATAATAATAATAATAATAATAATATCATTGTTATTTATACTACCAAAGTATTTCAAAATAAATTATTGTAAAATTCTTTGAACCATAGATTTGATTAAATAACTACACACGGTATAAGATCTAATTTTCCCAACAAAAGGTAATTAGAGCGGTCAAAGAGTATCAAATTAATTATTTTTCAGTAGAAATAATAAGAAAAATAAAACTCAATTTCGTTAGAATATATATTAATTTTAATTTTTGTCCAATGAATTATGTTTATCCAAATCTTGGTATAGCTGGCAAGTCATATCAAGTAAATACGAACCTCATACCGCTTTGTGTATATATATGTGTATAGTTCATCGGGTTCCGAGGTAAGTTAGTACAAAGTTCTAGGAGCCTCTTTTACAGTAGTGATGTTTGGTTCCGAGGTAAGTTGGTACAAGGTTCTAGGAAGTGATGTTTGGTGAGGGGTTGAGCGCTCGAATCCCTTTGTTTGTGTTTGTTGTAAGGCTATATTATAAGGCCAATTAAAAAAAAAAAAAAAAAAAAAAAAAAAAAGAAAAAAGTTTGCCCTCACTGAAGCTTTTAGTTTAGATTCCAAACAAGAAACTGCTGACGGTGCCATGGATAAGTTGGCATCTCAACAGCTAAGCATTCAGACAAGCAATCAACATATATATATATTTTTTAAACACATATATATATATATATATATATATATATATATATATATATATATATATATATATATATATATATATATATGTATATATATTACCAAAGTCCAACTCAATAAATAAAATTGGCATGTTTCTCTACATACAGAAACACATACATTATACAACCATTACATGTTGTCTTCCTGCAACCAATACTAAAACAACTAATAAATTTTAATAAACAACTATTTAAATGTCACATGGCCATATCAGTACTACTATGTATAAATCATGTAGTATAGAATATGACCATGTGAACACACAATCATAGTGCATTCAATTTGATTTGCCTTAGTAGTTTGAATTTTAATTAAATTTGCACTCTTGTGGCTTTCCTCGTATTCGTCTTGTCTAAGAAATCCGATTTTTAAAAAGCCAATAAAGGACAAAAATTTGAATATTATCTCAACTAAAAGCTTACACACCTAACAAAATCTAAGAATACAGACTTGACAAAATGTAATGTTTTTTAGCAGCACAAATCAAAACATGGAGTTGGCCAATTCAGTTATTTCTGTTGCGACGAGGTCGTGTTCTCCCTTCAACTTCTCTTGTTCCTCCTGGCCGAGTTCACCTTTAGCAGGCTTTGTTAGAACCAGCACACAGCAAGTCGGCCTCTTTGTGGCACCCGCGTTAGCAAGGTCCTGAAAAATAATATTTATATTATTTACTATTTCCAAATTTATCGAGCAAATTTTGAGCATCGAGAATTGCACCTAGGCATATAAAATCATAACAAAGCAATCCAAATGAAAAGATTGATGATTTAACTGGTGAATCAATAATAGCATCAGCTATAATCATACACGCACGCACAATATCCCCTGCACTATTGTGTAAGATCTCGTTTGGTTGGTTAGTTTGTCGTGATTAATTAAAATGATTATATCTTATTTGATGTTTGGTTATTGAAACAATTTATCGGCCCAGCCAAACAAGGATTGTGTATAATAGTGTCTTGGCTATCTTGACAACCAAACAAGGCCCTAGGAGTATTGGATGGGTTCGTTCCACTAGTAATATGATGAACATATATTTCACAATCCTTTTCACTGCATAAGCTAAACGGAAATGAAATACACTATCCAGAACACATTGTCTATCGACATAACAATCCATTTAATAAATCGTAATAAATAAATAATAACGAGGCGGAGAAATGCAACTTACTTCCTTTGACGGAACATAGACGTACGGAATGTTAACTTCTTCGCACAAGATCGGAACATGAGTGATGACGTCTATAGGTGATATGTTCCCCGCAATAACACATATTCTGCAGTCATCGTAAACATTGCGAATATCAAATTTTCAGTCCAAACAGTAGAATATTCATATTTAAGTCAAATCAATTTCAAATCTTGTTCCAAAATAAAAATCGACAAGTGATCATAATAAGCAATTTCCATGCCATATTTTATATACAATTTACCAGAATAAATGAAAATCTCCAGCTTCCTAACTAATTTTAGGAGAAAAGGGACAAAATGGAAACCCTAATCGAAAAACGATGGGTCTAAAACATTTAATCAAGAGAAAATCAACGTACCCTTTGTTGCCGCGGCGAATGCTTTTGACGACCTCCTTAACTCCTCTCTTCAAGCATTTGTGCTCCGCAGCTGAAAATCACAAGCAAAAAAAAAACGCAAATAAATAAATAAAATTAAAACAACATAGAAATCACAGAGAAAATTACAGGTAGTAGAAATGGGGACCTAGGCGAACAAGTTTGAGTGTGCGTTTGCAGAGCTTTTTGCCGGCGAGCGGTTTGGCGATGGGGGCAAGCGCCGCTAGCTTCTTCTTCTCCCTCTGCTTCTGCGCGCTTCTCTCAGTCTCGCTGTCGCTTCCCATCTCTTCTGAGTGTGTGTGCCGGCGAGTGATTGAGGTGGAGGTGGGGGGTTTTTCTGTAATGGCGGAGGGACTAGGGTTTTAGACGAGCAGTGTCGATGGACTATATAGGTATTTGCAAAGACCAAATTACCCCCCCGATTTAAATTTGTTATTGCGACCTTTTTTTTTTTTTTTTCGCCTATCCTCCCTGATGTTTGGTGTAACTACAACTAGACCTCGTTTAGTTTTGGAAAATAACACAGCACGTCCTTGAGATATGATATTATCTAAGAAGACCCATTTGACCATTGATTTTCCTTTTTTCTTTTTTTCTTTTTTTTCTTTTTATGTTTGCCCCTTTTATATTTATTTTTTCTATAATTGCATATATTTACATATACAGCAATTATATTTCAAAACTATTACAAATACCTCAAATTTAATATTTAATTAAAAATTGAATTTAAACTTATTAAATAAAAAAATTATTGTTACTAAAATCTTATGAATAACAACAAATAAAGTTATTTTTATATAATCAATTTATAAAAAAATTACCGCTAAAACATGATTAAATGTTAGCTGACAATAAACATCAACGAATTTTCGAGTTACTTTTTAACTTGAGAGTTTAAAATTAAATCTCCATTTCTCATTGATGTTTGCAGGGAAAGTTATATTAATAAATGAAGGATTTTTTTTATATGCCAGTAAACATATAAATTATAAAGCAATCTGAGACGGGGATTGAGCAGGTGATCAGGAGTACTTTGATCATATTTTTAGCTCCATCTGAGCGGGCTATTGATGAGATATTAAATAATTTGGAGCCAAGAGTGAATAGCGAGGCGGACCAATAACTTTCTGCGTCATTTTCGCCGTCGGAGGTAACAGTAGCTCTTTCGCAAATGTCTCCCCTTAAATTCTTTGGTCCGGATGGTCTTCCGGGTTTTTTCTTTAATAAGTATTGAAAAAATATAGGTTCAAACGTTACCTCCTGTGTGTTAAAACTTCCGGAACAACCAAATTCTCCCCTCTATCTCAATTTTACTTTCATTGTCTTGATTCCAAAAAAGTCGAAACCCGAGCGTATAACTAAATATAGGCCCATTAGTCTTGCAATGTCATATATAATATTGGGTGTAAAATGATTGCTAATAGAGTTAACTGCTTTTATACTCTATTATTTCGCCTACTCAATCCGCTTTTGTCCCGAACCGCTTTAATACAGATAATATTTTGGTTGCTTACGAAGTGAATCATTTTATCCGTACTTGCCCTAATAGATCGAATGAGCACATGGTTGTTAAGCTTGACATTAGCAAGGCCTACGACGAGTCGAATGGATTTTTCTTCGGAAAACCCTCATCCAATTCAGTTTGTTGCCTACTTTTATTGATCTTGTATTTATTGTGTGCATTTACTGCTTCATATGCCTTTTTATTTAATGGCTCATAATTTGACTCGATTTTCCTTTCGCGGGGATGAGACAGGGTGACCCACTTTTGCCATATCTTTTTATCATCTATGCAGATGTTCTTAGTTATATGTTACAGGGTACAGTTGACACGGGTGAGTTGCATGGTGTAAAAGTAGCTCCCAGGGTGCCAATCATCACCAATTTGTGTTTTTGCAGACGATACTCTTATCTTCTGTAAAGCAACGAAAGAGGATGCAACACAACTGAAGATGGTATTAGATCGGTATGCTGAGAATTCTGGTCTCGAGGTTAACACGAAGAAGACGAACATGGTATTCACTCCGCAAACACCAAGTGAGACTCGATAGCAAATTCAACATATTTTGGGTTTTCAGGTGGTGGAAAGACACAAGAAGTATTTGGGCACGCCAGCTTCACTCGGGCGAATCAAAAAAAAAGTATTTGCATATATCCGAAAACACCTTTAGAACCGAATAAAGAACTGAGTGAAAAATATTATATATTTTTGATAATGAAGGAACCTATAGCGAACAATACCTTCCATACCCTATGAACCATCATAACTTGTATGGAAACTGGTAAAAATTAAAATAATAAACAAATATTTGAGTGAAGGAAGATAAAAGTTATTTATTTAACAAAAAAAGTTATTTATTGAGTTTGGGTTGGATTGTAACTTAAACGAATTCTGTAGGGAGGTTTGTCTAAATATTTAAACCCGAGAGATTTCTTTATAATTACACAAACCACAGGGCATGTGTAATATAACCCTATAAATTATAAACCCCGCTCAGAAGCCCTAAAACCCCCCAGTCATTCCCACAACCACCACCGCAACCGCCACCACCGTACTCGGCGACTCCGCCGCCATCAGCACCACCACCACCACAGCGCCACCAATTTCGCTATGGCAAGAGCTTCGATATCATCGCAGCTCCAGATAATTAAAACTGCCCTAAATGCTTCCACAGATGCCGAACCCGGCAAGAGGCGTCCGTTAACTCGGCCTTCAATTCTATTCGATGCCAAGGCAGCTGCTGATATCGACATCGACACCATCTTCGGCATCGCTCTCTCTGGTATTGATTAAAAATGTTGTTTCTTCAAGTAAAAAAATAAAATCAATTTTTACAGTGGGGATTATGCAGCGATTACGTTTTTGCAGTTGTAAATTTTCTAACTTTTTTCTTTTTTAAATAGGTTTGGAGACTTTAATAACTACGGAGGAGAGGTTTAGGAATTACAAGAATGATTTGTTCAGCTCTCAGAGTAAGGAGCTAGATAGGGAGTTGGCCGGCCAAGAAGAAAACAAACGAATTAATTCATCTATTAGCTCTTATTTAAGTTTATTATCTGGATATCTCGAGTCCCATTCCGCTTTGAAGACCGTCGAGTATTTAATCCGTAGATACAAGTATGCTTTTATATTTATGTGCAAGGAATGTTTGTCTTTCGGCTTGTCTGTTTAGGAGATGTTCTTTTTTTTGACATTTTATAATTTTTGTTCTGTTTTTAATTGTAGGGTTCATGTTCACAATGTGGAGGACCTGATTTTATGTGCGCTGCCGTACCATGACACACATGTTTTTGTTCAAATAGTGCAATTAATTGACACAGGGTAAGTAGGCTCTACTATTTTTATTTTTTTTCTTTAATTTCTTAATTCATATTATTTATGTGAAAGTGATCTGGATAAGTGATAACGGTACGGCAAATGTATTTTATTGCTGCAGTAACAGTAGATGGAAGTTTCTTGATGGAGTTAAAGTATCCGGGGCGCGGCTACCTAGGGAGGTTATCGTTCAACAGTGTATCAGAGATATGGGGGTTTTGGAGGCTATTTGTAATTATGTGCGTATTGTATTTTTGGCTGTGAGTCTTTAATTTCCTTTTTTCTTGCCCCTATTATGCGGATCTGAAATGTTTGAATTTTCCAGGCTACACCAGTGAAAAAAATTCAACCATCAAAGCATGTGACTGGCTTCTGCACTGCAGTTATTTTTGAGGTTTTGGGACTCGTCACTGTTGATAGTGATATCGTGAAGATGATTTTACAATATGTGAGTTCTGCGCTGCAACCAGGTGCCAGAGGACAGAACCAGAAGGTCAAACTCGAATATTCCATTTTTTTGCGTTTGTCTTATATTTCGTTTGTTCAAGTTTCGTTTGTGAGAGATAAAATTCTCTCTATGCAATATACAGGCTGGTGCTCTGATGATCATAAGTTTGCTATCCCAAAAGTCAGCCTTGGCACCTAATGTTGTCAAAAGCTTGATGCTTTCGGTGGCTGACACAGCTAGGGCAGAAGCTAAAGAAAGAGGTGACTTGCAATGGTTGCGCATGTCGTTTATGACAATAATCAGCATTGTTCGGGTATTAATTTCTGTTGTATCTTCTAATGTGGAAAGTTTACTTACAAAAAAATCAGAATTACTATCTTGTTTATGCAACTTAGGTCTATCTATCTTCATTTAAGGGGTGGCGATTTATGATTGATAAGTGCTCCTTAAGGATAGATTGTTTAGTATATTCGAAGTAGTCACATGTCTGACTGATCGTTAACATTGTTTCTATTGTCTAGCTTCAATCTGTGGAATTAATTCCCAAGAAGACTGTGGATGTCTTAAATGATATCAGGTAATCATTTATATTCATGGATCGATGTCCATTGGCCAAATCTGCGCTGCCTTCAATTTCAAACATCTGAGATTGGAGTTTTTTCTTGGTTTGAAGGGATATTTCAGGAATCCTTTCCGGATTAGCGAAGGACTTCAACATTGATAACTTCATAGCTGTGTTTCTGAACTCCTTACTGGAGTATAGGTATCTAATGTTTTATTTCTCAGTTAGATCATTCCTTCTTTTTTTGTACTGAAACTAATTTTTTTATTTCACAGTGCTTCTGATGAACAGTGCCGTCGTACTTTATTGTCCATAATAGAGACTGTTCCTATGAAATTGAATGTTGATCGCGTAGTCTCTAGACTTCTCACGACAAGCATGAAGATATGTCAGGGCAATGTTGATTCAGTATCATCTGAATCAGGTTTGTATTTTTTCTCAGGTATACTCTTCTAGTCTTTCCTTTTGTTGTCTGATTTGGCCCATTTTGTTAGTGAGCGGAGGCAAACAGATTCTGGCTTCAATCAGTCAGAAGTATCCAAATGAATCACGTTCAGCCATCTATCGTTTCGTGAAGGTGGCTTCCTCTTCATTTCCGTTGTTTACTTGTTGGTGAATGCTAGTATATTCATTTCAGTTATTTATATGGAATTATATAGGAGACCAAGATACAGTCCAAGAAAATCAATTCAACCTACGATTTACTCTGCAAGATAATAGATGAACATTTGGGTTCATCTCCACAGATGCTGGATCCAAAAATATCTTTTGCATTGGAACATTCAGAGGTACCATTGTTTTGGAGGGTGTCAACTAGAAAATACTTCATTATTCACACTACAACGATATTATACCCTTTACATTTATGTTTTTTTTTCAGTGATTTCTGTCCCCTGTACAACTAATTGGTATTGAATTGACTTCAATTCCTTAACTACCTGGTATTTGAGTATTTACAGGCAGGGATTCGAAAGTCTGCTGTCTTGGGCTTGGATATAGCTGATGTCCTGAGAGAGAAAACTGCTGGCTCGGCGGTAATGCCTTATTATCTTTCTCTAATTGTATTGGTACTATCTGAACCAGAGGAGTTCTTTAAATCCTTTGAAAAAGATATGCACTGATCTCTGCTGATGTAGTTTCAATTTCTCTAGAGTATTTTGTTTCGGGAGAAGCCATAGTAAAGGTGCCGTTTGGCTAAACTTATTTTGAACATTTTATAAGTTCCTACATCTTATAAATTAGCTATATTCATTTTTGTACGAGTTTCATGCCATTTTTTGTCACTATGAATGTAGAAAAGATCTTAGAATGTCAAACATGTAACATCTAATAAAGGAACTTATAAGATGTCACACCACAATAATCATATAAATATTATGAAAGCATATAAACAATATAATTAAAACAACTAGCAGGAAAGTTCGATGAACTCATTTCAAGCACCCACCTTTGAATGATTGGTATGATGATGATATCTAATGTAAACAGTAAATGTTGCCCCTTTTCTTGTTTGATCTTTAAACTCATGAACTGCATTATGATATTTATCTGCACTTGTGTGTTTTCTTCAGTATGGTAAGCTCTGTAAATGTACTTTAGTTTACTTCTCTTTGATAAATATTGCTATATTCATTTCTTTCTCTTCTATTTTCCAGAAGTTTGCTGCTATTCAGGATGCATTATTGCGCCGGCTCTATGATGATGATCTCAACGTTGTACTAGCCGTTCTAAATTTGAAGAACTTATCTGATATATTGACTGCCCCAAGTTTGATTGAGGCGATCCATAACGTGCTTCAAAGATGTGTTGAACTCTTGCTGTCAAGTGAGCATTCTATTCATCGTTATTGTTTTGCTTACACTTCCTTTACTGTTTTCTAGATACTGATATATTCGATGAAGATGAGAAATGACATTATGCAATGGGTTAAATAAAAATTACACTGCAAATGTCGGTAACTTATTTTTCAATAAAGCATTTAAGAATAGGACTTACTGGGAAGTCCTTGGGCCAATGTTTGAAATTCTAATATGAATATAGGAGCAGTTGCAAAGAGTGCTAATGAAATGTCCCTTGTTTATTTAGCCATCAGAAGATAAATAGCCGGTCAAAGTCCCTTGTATTGATTAACAATAGTAATCAGTTGATGCTTATATACAATTTTATAAGACACCCAAGATTGGTCCCTAATGATGTTTTCTTACTCGAGGAAATCGTGACGAATGCAACTAAACAGAAACTTATTTGTGCTGGAGTTGGGCATTCTGTCACTTGTAAAATATCCATTTTTAGTCAACTGAGAATGTTGAATTTTCGTAAAATAGCCATTCAATTTGTCTTCGTTGGCTGCTCGTACTGCAGGTTCATCAACGAATACCTCTTCCCGCAACAATGCTGCTTTATTGTGTCTGCAACAAGTTATCACAAATTTCAAAGATGAGGAACTATATTCGAAGACTTTAGCAACAATGATATTCCCCTTACTTTTAATTCAATCCAAGGTTCTATTTTGAAATAATTATTTTATTGCCCATCAAATAAATGGTCTGATATCGTCTCTGGAAATTATTTATTTGCTGGCTGAGATGTTTTTACTGTCCTAACCAGACTGAGAGATCAAACATGAAGGCTTTGGAATTGGCTAAAGAATTAAAATGTCCTTTGTATAAGAACCTTGTCCTTCTTCCTTTGTCGGAGAAGGCGGAGAAGGGGTCTGAGAAGGGATCGAAGAAGGTAATCATCAGATATTGAAAAAGGAGTTGGTTGCTGATTACATTTACGTAGCCATTTTGTTTTCACTTACTCATCCATTACTCACAAAAGAATGCTTTTGGATTTGGCAAAAGAAGTGGCACCCTTTGATATTTTATTAATTAAATTACTGCAAGTTGGTGAGAGTTTATAATAGTACTAGCTAATTAATTGACATTAAAGTGGGTGATTCATGGACCGTTTGCATGTTGATTTAGTTGTATATAACTATTTTTTGCTATTGCTGTTAAAGACCGGGATCTTATACAGATTCCATCCTTTTAACTCGTATCCTAATCATTAGGGTTTTTCTTGTGTTACTTGTTAAAGAAGGCTTACATCATGCTTCATCAATTCACATAACAGCTTAAACAAATGAAATATAGTTCTTATGTTTAGTAAACTATAGTCTGATTGAACTATCTTATGTTTACAGCCTTAGAATTTACAAATGACTTGTGTTTTTATGAGGATCTGATGGCAAGGGTCAACAACCTAGTATGAGTATGTACGTTGATATCTAGTGTAAAACTCATTGGAAAATTCATTAGCTTAATGTGTATTGATTACCACTCTTTTCTATATTAGTCATTATCTTTTTCTTTTTAATAATGGCTCCTTTTCCAACCACGGGGGCTTTACGGACAAATTTATTTGAATAGTATTGCTGAGGTATACTTGTCTTACCTTCTAAAGCCTGTGAAAAGTAAAACAGTGATTTATGTTTGTTTGACTTTAAATCTCAAACTGTTGCAGCAATTGGACCAGAAATTAGAACGTATATCTTCAGCTAATTCTGTGAATATCAGTGAGTTAGCAAAGACATTCTCATCAAGTCCCAAGGAATACATGCCTTGGCTGATTGAATGCTGCAACACTCATGAACTCTCAAAGACGTTGTTCTTCTTGGTTTTGTTGGAGTCTCTCGTGATGTTGAAAATGGGTAATATGCCTCTTACTTTCTTACACTTGAAATAATAACTCTGTTGTATCTGGCACTGATTCTATTATCTTTTATTGCTTTTGAACTCTGATGTTCAAGTTTGGTTACCTGGAAAATATTGCATCATATAATTTTTGAGATCCCCTTAATATGTGAATTTTGTGGAGTTTGCTCAAATATGCTATTGGTATCAGCATGCCACTATCATATTGTTTGCATGCTCCCTAAAATTTTTATGATGTTCAAGATATCCGTGTTTTTAAGTTCTTATGTTATTGCACCTAGAAATAAACCAAGAGGTTGTAAAATAGATTTCCACTATCCCTGCGAGTTTTTCCGAAATTAATGTATTGTTAACTACTACATGTGGATTGAGCAAGATTCATAGTAAGATGGAAGTGTGACACCTTTCACCTGCTCTGCATGTTCATTCAAAGAAATCTGCATTCAATTTTCAAAAGACTGCATAATTTGTTCCTGAATAACTGAGATTTCCTTCATAGGCAGCTTTTCTGTTTGTTTGTTTTGCTGTTTCTCAACGGAAAGCACAGTAGATAATTTCATCTAGTATCAGTCTGTTCTTTAGTCTTTAATTTTTACTTCTTTTTCTCAAATCCTTCATCCAAGTTATTGAACGAAATGCGTTCTACTGCCACATATATGTTTTGTACATAGTTGTGGATCAACTAGATAATGAGATGCACACTGTATTGCATGCATTCTCCTTATTTGAGACTGTTGTTACATTTGTCCTTTAGATTTCTTCCTTTGAGCTTCATGGCAATTATTATACATCTAGGCTGCAAATATTTTTCTTGCGATGATAAATGGAAATTCCATGCTTAATTCTCTGTCTCCTTTTAACTTGGCAGATGTTGGCCAGTTCTACACAATTTTTGATTCTTGTTTTCCAATTCTGAAAAACGAGTGGGAGAAGCTTGAATCACTCGGGATATCTGCAGAGCAGGTATATGATTTTATTGGAATCAATTGTTTCTAGTTTCTATTTGTAAAATTAAGTCGTAATTATTGAAACTCCATTTATGAATCAGTCCGGAAAAAGAATCGTCGATGTTGATTGTGAAGGAAACCTCGATGTTGATTGCAAAGGAACAATAGATGTTGATTGCAAAGGAATCCTAAATGATCTTCTTGACACTGACATCAAAGACCTGAATGCTGAGATTCTTTCTTGCTTGTTTTGGAGGTTGTTGAAAGCTTTTATTGCAATAGCACCCGCAGATCTATCTCCGGTTGGTGATTCTTACATTTTATTATTCTTACTTCAATTTTTATTTGTGTTCCATAGACCATTCTGTGGCCTTATTACTTTTGTCACAGGATATGAAGGAGAAGTGGTTGTCCACACTTCAGGGTCTATTTCTGTTCGCATGTCACTCAAAAGATGCTTTCAGCAAACATCTGAAGTACCTATTTATGAAGTGCAAGAACCCTCTGTCGCGAATAATGTTGAAACTACTCACAGAAGAAGGTTTGGCTGTGCAGTTCTCCCTTGTTCGTTTTTATTTTCTTGCAATTTATGTTCATTTTCTTTCTTTGTTCTCGTCAGTCTCCTGGACCTGGCGGATCAAATAGTTTCATAACTGACTTTTAAAGGTGAAACTTTTGAGTGGGTAGACGTGTTTTGATAGATCTATAGTAGTATAGAATGACACAAGCTTAACATGATCCATGTTTGATTATGTGATTGATGGAATACCTACATGGGATTTGTGTTTTTTTCCAATAATTTAAGACCATACAACAAAATTAATCTCGTTTTAAAGAAGTTAGTTTCAAAAACTGTTTCAGTTGTACATCTGACCCTTGTTTTATGTGAATGAGAAACATTCTAATTCATCTGCGTATCTCCTCATTTTTATAGAAATAGTTAAATGTGAAACATAGTTAAGCTCAATGAATATTGATGCCATCCTTGTAACACACCATAGATTTGCTATATGTTATCAAATGCACTGGGATATTGAAGTAGAGTTAGCATTTTTATCACATCTTTCTTAATTTGTTTGGGGAATATATGATGATTAGAAATGATATACATTATCTTTGGAACATGTGATTGACCTAATAATTATCAATTAAGATAACCTTTGGGCTGGAGTTCTATTGAGGGTATCATGGATCTTGTATTTGATATGTCTTTAGCTTGTATACATCTTTGCTCTTTCTATAGCTATGGACTTTATTCAATTTAGGCTCTTCATTGACAATGGCAATGTCTTTCATTAAAGATTTGTTATCTAATTGTTTTTGTTTTGGTGCTTTTAAACTCTCAGGCATTCCCAATACTGCTCAAATTGAGACTCTTCATTCTCTCTCACATATTTGTTCCCAGTTAGATGAGAGTTCAACACTTCAACTCCTTGAGAATTTCCCTTCTATTCTCGTTCCATTGTCAAGTGATAACCAGGTATTGGGACTTCATCTTCTTCCGCTTTCTTTTCTCTTGCACAGCCATTGCGTTTTACTGTCTCAATGTATTCATTTTTGGGCTATTCCTTTTATTAGCTGTGAATGCTACAATTATGTGGACTTCTTTCTGAATATTTAGATTTGAAAGTATTGGTTTCAATGAGTTGTATTTAAACAATGCCAATTTTGTGAAACTGACTCTCTCTCTCTCTCTCTCTTCTTGCTTATCTAGAATATACGGTTGGCTGCCATGAGTTGCATTGAAGAGCTATCCCCGTTGTGGTCCCGTATCAGTAAGAATGGTATGCATTGACATTATATGTTTTCACTCCTGACCCTCACTCTCTTTAGTTCTCGTTTCTAAGCCAGTAATACTGCAGGCAAAAGTGGAGTCTCATTGCATTTTCTTGGAGAGATGTTGTTCTTAATTATGCAGCAGAAGAAGATGATATTGTCGGACAGAAATGTTCTCGCTTCTCTCTTCACATCTCTGCTCAGTTCATCCTCTGAAAGCCTTTTGGTGCAACAGGCTATTGGAAAGAGGTTGGGGTTTGATCCTGTTGACTGTATGTTACTTAGTTATTAGTTTATGCTCCCGTAGATGGGGAATTATCATGATGAAGATGCACAGTGTAGTATCTGTTGTTGATGCTTCATTGAAAATATTTTTTTTTCTATCCTATATCCTTTTGCCTCTTTCATTGCATTCGGACCCTTGATAGAACATAGATGGGTTGGATTTTATCTTTAGAAAGTTGATCTTTATCTGGGCTTCTTTACGATCTTATTGGTTGCTTTTTGTCATATATTTATAATGTTTTTGACATGGATTCAGATTTAATGAGTCCACCAAAAAAGACATCCTGAATTTCATGCTTGATCATGCTCTTGGACTTCCTGCCCATGCCAAGGTTTGTTTTCTTAAGTGATTATCCCTTATTCAGCTGCTTCCATTACTCATTTAAGCTGACTGATTGATCGGTTCTATTTTCTCGGTGATCTTCATGGCAGCTGAAGATTCTTTCTTTGATCAAAGGTGCGGGGAGTAAACTCATGTCTTCTGGGGTGGAGTCATTGTTAAATGATCTTTTGGAAAATCGTCGGCAGCATTATCTTAAGGATGGCAAACTATGCCCTAAATTGTCACAAAGTGAAGTTGACATATTGTGTCTTTTGCTGGAGGTAGATTTTTCAAGTTATTTTTGCCATTGTCCTTGCACTTCAAACTTCAACATATTATGTTTTAGATGACTTTATGTGTCTCTCAGATCTGTACTAAGGCAAATTCATCTGACGAAGCACGTGACTTTGGGAAGTTCATAGTAGAGGCTTTACGGGTCAGCATCATATATATTTTCTGGCTCTTTTATCAGGTTATCCTTTTATGGTATCTGTTAAGCTGTTATTAGTGTTTTCACTTTCAGTTAAATGGTGCGGAAGAGACTGCAGTTCTGGAGCCATGTATGACAATTTTGAGAAATCTTAGCAGTTCCATTTATGGAAGCATGAAGCCTGAAACTCAGGTTGAGTTTATCTTCCCTTTAACATGACTGTAATGTGAAATTTGTGAAATGTAATAATCAATTAATTGCATGGTAGAAACCTGGGTCATGAGAAAACAAAATGTGACAGTGACTGGTGCTATTTTTGAGGGTTGTAAATTGTTTGTTTGGTTTTCCTTCTTGTGCTTACTTTAGCTGATTGTTAGTTTATGTGAATGACAATGGGTGAGTGAAAAAGCATCTATCAAACATGATCTTTAGTTTCGAGTGTTTTTTGGTTATGAGTTTTAAGCTTAAGAACATCATAACTTAAATCTTCAACATTGCTTTTATCAGGCAGTCATTTTTTCAATATTTTTTGAATGGCGCAGCTGGTATAATTTGGTTTTAGAACTCATCCCCCCCCCCCCCCCCCCCCCCCCCCCCCAATTCGTACGGTACCAAATATGGGTGCTTGCACCAATTGTAGTGCACTCTATCCTTTGAGTGAAGCCAACTCCCTTATATTTCCTCATGTAGTCCTCTTATTCAAATTTCATTTCTCTTTGTTTCATGTTTCTGCAGGAGCTTATCTTCAGGAATCTTTTGATTCTATATAGATGTCCCAATGGTGGTATACAGAATTCCAGTAGAGATACCGTGTTGAGAATTAGTGTATGTTCTATCAGCCTTGTTTTATGTGTTTAAAAAAAATATCTTATTCATTTATGAGTTTGGAAGCCAGTTTTGTAATAAAAGATTCTTGTACCTAACTCTTGCAGCTCAATTGCTCAATTGTTGAAAAGATTCTTGATCCCATTGTGGATCCGAATACTTCCTCAGTTGCTTCAGCACATGGGAAGAAGCAAAAAAGATCAGTCAAAAACCAGGATCGTAATCAATGTGATGATGCAACCCAGGGAAGAGAAAACCCTCTATTGTTCTTGAGTGCTTTTCTTGATGTGCTGCTAATGAAGAAAGACATAGTTAACAGGTACGCTATACCACTATGTATGTTGGAAGTTTGTATGTTCGTGAGGGGTGCTTTTGTTTACCTGTATGATCATCTTGTGTCTGCTCTGTTGTCGAGTTGATGATTTTTGATCTTATTTTTGTAGAACTTCACTTATTGGCCCCTTGTATAAGCTGCTCCGCTTGACATTTGAAAATGAAGAGTGGATGCTTAAAGCGCATAAAGCTTCATCTGGTTCTTCTCAGTCTGTTTCCGATTTTACAGCTCACATTCAACAGACTTTGCTCTTGACTTTGGAAGATATCTGTGTGTCTATTGGAAATGATATTGCACATAAGGTTTACCATCTTTCTTACTTTCATGATATCTGGTTCAAACATGGCGCATCTTCTCTTTCTGATCACAAGTACAATTGTGTCATAACAGGATGTTGGTCACAAATATGACTTGCAATTGTTAGTTGAACATGCCTGTTCTTCAGATGATGTCGTTACTAGCAATTATGCCTTCTCGTTAATCACTGCTCTTGTAAAGATCGTACCTGACGAAGTCTGTGCCCGAACATCCGATATTCTTACCACCATGGGCAAATCTACTGTAACACAGGTTTGACGTTTTCTCTATGTAGATCTGAACATCGTATTCATTCTTTGCCTTTTTCAACCTTCACCAAATGTTTTTAATACAGCATGGCAATGGGCTCCTCTGACATAATGAATATTTCTACTATATCATAATAATAGTTTAATTTCCTAATTTGTGAAATGTTTCTTTTAGACAGTTGACTAGATTTTTCCTTTGAATAGGGGTTATTTGGAATTAATTTTTTCCTTTCTTGTTCATAGAACCTGTGCTCTAGATACCATGTTAGAACAGAAAAATGAGGATCAAATGCAGAATACTGTAGAAAAGGCAGACAACTGAAATGCTCTCTTATATAGAGATGGGGAAACAGTCGTAACAAGGAAATAAATTCCCCAAAATAGACACAAATCTACTAAGATAGAGACAAACTACTAAATGAATCCAGACTCCTTACCAAATATAGACTCTTAAGTATCCTGTAACAAATGTTATTTATTCTGTTTACACTGCTGGCGGTTGGATTTCTTACATTATCTACTCACTTGTACTTAAAAATCAATCTCATGTAACTTATTATTTATTTAGCACTGAACCTGAAATTGACAAAAGGAAATTTCATATCTGTAGTTGGATAGCCAATCACAACGTGTCTTTGAAGGGCTTATATCAGCAATTATACCTTGTTGGTTGTCGAGGACCAACGACAACGACACAGACAAATTACTTCAGGTAATACCATTATAAAATCTTCTGCAGTAATCTTCCTCTGTGGAGTTGGTCAAATGTTTTTAAGCAGCTGTTGTCCTGATGATTTCACAGATCAAGTTCTCACATTGTTTTGATCTCTCTCAGATTTTTGTAGAAGTGCTGCCACAAGTTGCAGAACGTAGGGGACTCTCCATTATTCAACATATATTAAGGTAGATTTTGCAATCTTATCTTTATGGTTTTTGAAAGTTAGGTTTTTCTGACAATCTTTCTCTTGCAGGACTCTGGGAGAGGCCGAGAGTTTGGGTTCACTGCTCTTTCTCCTTTTCCAATCATTAATTTCAAGGCAGAGCGAGCTTAGTCTCCTAAATAAGCAATGGGAGTATGAATTTGCTGTGCTGCTTTCTGAGCAGTATTCATGCACAATTTGGCTTAGTTCTCTCATCCTCGTACTTAAAAAAATTGGAACCAGTATTGAGGACAAGTTTAAGCAAATGCAGGTTGCTATGCAGTTTGTTGCAGATAAGTTGCGAGATCCTGAAATTTCCTACAAGCTTCAGTTGAAAGAAGATATGCATGACATTCAGGTATGAAGATATATACACCACTTTCTGCGCATTATCCGGCTAGTTATTTAAGAATAAAAATTACTCTTCAGCAGCTCATTTTCTATACGACGACATATTGAAATTTTAAGTACCTTTAGTGGGAAGATATCATAATCTTGAGTTTTTCTTGGACTAGTCATCTGGTTTCAACTGACTAATTGCTCAGTTGAGAAGTTCGCTTCCCACAGAATGGACATACTTTTCGAACTGAGGTGCAGTTTCATTTCACTTCGAGATATATATTTATTTATACTTAATAGGAATATCGTTATCGAGCACGGATTATAATTTTGGTAGTTTTATCTAGAAGTATTTGAAAATCCATACATATAGTGCCATCATCCAAGTAAAAGTAAATGTTTCTTCATGTATATATTACACCCTTTCAGATGCTTACTTGAACCGCATTTGTTTCTGCAGAACATGGTTGGTGAACTTATGGAGCAAGTGGTATATCATCTGCAACTGGTGGACTCAAATAAGAAGCATTCACTCAAAGAGAATATTCGTGCTGTTTTGAGAACTCTTACGAAGGGACTTCCACCCTCTACCTATTTCAATGTCATAAAAGAATTGATCAATCACGGGGACAGCGATATGAAGAAGAAGGTAAGACCGTTCTATTATAAAAATATGTTTTGCAGTAGGGCTCCAAGGGAGCTCAACTGCTCATTATTGCAAATATAGCATGGTTAATTGGTTGTGCACCTTTGACATGGGACTTTTGCTTGAACTTAGTAATTTCTATTTGTTTGTCCAGTTTTCTTGATTTCATTTAGTCAAAGCTTGGCCATTGTTCTCATCATTGAGTTCTTGTTGAACAGGCTCTAGGGCTTTTGTCCGAGACTGTGAAGGACTTGGGTACAGGTGCGAAGCTTAAGAAGAAGGGTTCAGTGTCAAGCATAAGAAGCTCATGGCAGCAGCTGGATGAGGTTTCTCTGAAATCATTTGAAAAATTATGCTCGAGTATAAAGAAATTACTTGATGATGCACGGGAAGATATATCGAGTACTTCCCTGGAACTGGCAGCAGTATCGGCTTTGGAAGTTTTAGCGAACAGGTTCCCTTCACATGATGATGTCTATAGCAAGTGCCTCAAATCTGTATGTAAAAGAATCTGTTCAGACAATTCTGCTCTCTCCAGTCATTGCCTCCGGGCCACTGGTGCTTTAGTTAATGCACTTGGGCCAAAAGCACTAGAGGAACTTCCTAGTGTGATGAAATGTGTGCTGGAGAAATTTCCTGCAGAAACCAAGAAAACAGTCGACAGTGCTATTGGGTCTTCAAGTTCTGTGGATTCCCTCTTCATGTCTGTTCTGCTAACCTTGGAGGCTGTTGTCAACAAGCTTGCTGGATTTCTAAATCCTTACCTTACACGCATTTTACAGCTAGTCGTCTTGCATCCACTGTCCTTCTCCTCATCGGACCCGAAGTTGAAGTTGAAGGCTGATGTCGTGCGCAAGCTTATTACTGAAAAAATTCCTGTGAGTAGCTCCACTTATTCGTCTTTTAGTTTTCATTCACTCGCTCTCTGACTAAAAATGCCATCCTCAATTATCGTTCTCAACTGATGTTAAATTTCCTTCATTAGGTCCGGCTTCTGCTCCAACCCGTGTTGGATATGTACCCTAAATCTATTGGATTGGGGGAGTCGAGTGTATCAGTTGTTTTTGAAATGCTAGGTAACTTGGTTAGTTCGATGGATAGAGCATCAATAAGTGTCTATCATGCAAAAGTTTTCGGTTTGTGCCTGGAAGCTCTTGATCTGCGTCATCAGAACCTTGATTCAATTCAGAATATTGACGTTGTTGAGCAGAATGTCATCAATGTTGTAGTTACCTTGACTATGAAACTCACTGGGAGTACGTTCAGACTTCTGCTCATTAAGACTATTGAGTGGTCAGATTCAAATGTCGAAGGCGATGAAAGTACACCAGGAAAATCTGATAGTCGGGCCATCTCTTTCTACAGTTTGGTGAATAAACTTGCTGAAAGCCAGACGTAAGTTAACTAATCTTTGTTTTGAAAGATCATATTGTGGACTTCCTTTAAGATGATGGTTCTATTGCATGTAGGGATTTCGTTAGGGGGTACCCGACTAAATCAACTTTATCAAGCTGATGTACCTGTAAAATATATTCTTTTCTCCAACTTGCTGTCTTTAAGATATTTTAAGTTTAGGAATTTAGGTAAACGGAAAGGAATTATAAGAACTAGTAATTTGTGCACATGCACATCTTTTTTCACCTGTTGCCACAGCTTGACATTTGAGTCTCTGATGACGATCTTAACTATTCTCTGAAGATCGATGCAAAATTCTTGAGCCTAGTTTTATGCTTTTATTTACTGCGTTATAGGTATATTAGTAATATGTATATTATCCATGTTTGGTTTTAATTTCATTCTTAGTTTTGGATATTTGCTTTAGTTATAAGATATCAATTTGCTCGATTGGTAGTTGCACGACCAGTAATGTTTTCATTTGCTGTGTTTTGGGATTCTTGGTTCACATTGTTGCAAGATTTTTTTTCAGCATCCGTTTTTATTATTTTGTCTCTTTTTATTTCGTGCAAACTAGACGATCTCCTATAGGTTTTTAATCATCACTTTGTTACCATATTTGTTGGCCTCAGGTCACTGTTTGTCCCTTATTTCAAAGACTTGCTTGATGGCTGTGTTCGAGGTCTCGATGATGCCGGAGATACAAAAACTACCCTGACCCAGAAGAAGAAGAAGGCAAAGCTTAATGATACCACAACGGACAAAGATGGTGCATTATCTATTCAAGTGTGGCATCGTCGTGCTTTGATACTGTCGGCTCTGCATAAATGCTTTCTCTATGATAGTGGGAGTTCGAAGCTTCTCAATTATTCTGAATTTGAGGCAAGTGCAGTTTCTTACATCGCCATTTATGAGATACAATTTTTCTTATTTATCTCATTTAGATGTTTTTCCTCTTCCGCATATAATGTCAAGGGAATACATTAGAAGTCTATACTTATTGTTGCCGTAGTAATAAATCAAGTTATTGTTGCCTCAAAACTTATTTTGTCCTCTTCTTACATAGATATTTCAGTTGCCTCAGTTATTGTCTATGTTTTTCATGTTTGGTGGTACTTATTGTTGCTTTCCGTATCTATTGCAGGATCTTCGTAAAGCCTTGGTATCGCAGCTTGTTGTTGAGCCCCCAGTGTCATTAAAAAAGCATGCTAATGTACCATCTGTAGAAGAAGTGGATGATTCGCTGGTTGCATGCATTGGTCAGATGGCTGTTACTGCTGATTCAGACCTTTTCTGGAAGCCATTGAATCACGAGGTGATTATAATATGTCCACTTATTAACCCTCCACTTTCCTCATATCGGTTCATTTTGCAATTTTCCTTCAGAAGAAAAATTAAAGGGAATACTTTGCTGTTTGTTTGTGATTCTTACATATCGAGATTCTTATAAAATAAATGTCAAGGCTTAACATATTTCTTTTTTCTTTTTCCTTGGTTGGTTTGATTTCAGGTTTTGATGCAAACTCGTAGTGAAAAGATACGGGCCCGTGTGTTGGGATTAAGGATAGTGAAATATCTTGTAGAGAAGTTGAAGGAAGAATATTTGGTACTTCTGCCAGAAACTATTCGGTTCTTGGATGAAGTGCTGGAGGATTCCGAGCTGCCTGTGAAATCACTTGCACAAGATATTGTCAGGGAAATCGAAACTATGAGTGGTGAAAGCATTAGGCAGTACCTCTGATGTGATGAGCCAAATTCCAGACTGGAGTGGAGGCATATGTGACCGAAGCCCCAAATCTATCGGGGGCGCGCGCGGTCCTCTATTACAAATTTTGTCAGCAGTTGTATCTGATCTCGTGTAGAATATAGTAGTACTTGCTCTTTTGCGAAGGGCAATTTTTATATTCATATTTATATTTGTGTAGTAAAACATTTTTTTTTCTATTCGTTGAAGTTTTTTGCACTGGGGGCTTGTTTGTTGAGGGTTTTTGTTGTTCCGTGCCGTTGGGCATGGTTGTTATTAGATAATTTCTTTTTGGCGGTTAAAACTAATACCAATTTTCTAAAACTTCAATACCATCAAGTTTACTATCATATTTACAATTTCTCTCTTAGATTAATAGCCCACATAATTTTTTTTATTAG